CATGGCGCTAGTGTGAAATGTCACTTCAGCTCTAATGGTGTCAAATTTAGGGGCATTATTACTGTCTAAATTTGTATTTTTTTTTACTTATGTACAGTAGAGTATATTTCATCTGTAAAATGTAATGTATTGTTTCACAACAGTACCGTCAGATACCAGAGGGACCAGTACCACCAACAACTCCAAAGTATGCCTATGGAACGGTTGTGATGAAACAGGTAGGTAATCAGAGGACACTGTGTTTCTTTAAACTCATCATTCAAAGACTTTTTTCCACATGATTTAAAACACGAAGTACTAAAAAGCAAACTTCTGCCACCGCAGCTCCAGACGATAACAGATGCCTTGGACACACTGTCTTTCTCAGGCCCCGTCAAAAGCGTGTATCCTCAGACTTTCACTGAACTGAACCAGGTAACCTTTAAACCTTTCATTTGTTCTGGTGCATCCTTTTTTCAAGTTCACCAACAACATTTTGTCATTTGTTTTTTTTTAGATTTTCAGTAGTTGATTTGTTTAAAATGCATGTCTTTCCTGTTTGTCCTGCAGGCCTTTGGTTTTGCGCTGTACAGAACCACTCTGCCTGTTAACTGCAGCACACCCACTCCGCTGTCATCTCCACTGAACGGTGTCCATGACAGAGCGTATGTGTCAGTGGACGGGGTGAGCATATATTACATGTTTCTCCATGCACATGCCTTTTGTTCAAACGCATGGCTCACCATCAAACCTCCATACTTCATTCTGTGCTGGTGTTTAGACAGCACCTGACATTTGAGAACTTCAGGATTGGTTTATGTTTCCACTCTAGTATAAAAACATGTGAAAATTATACATAGTCGGAGTTAAAAATGTAGTAAACTCTGATTATTTCTGATACGACCTTGCTGATTTCTTCTCAAGGTGCCTGTGGGGATTCTTGAAAGGAACAAAGCCATAACTGTCAATGTGACTGGGAAAGCTGGCAGTCAGGTGGACATACTGGTGGAGAATATGGGCCGAATCAACTACGGAAAAGAAATCAACGACTTCAAGGTTACATTTTAAAGTTACCATGTGTGCTTTGAATTATAAATGTCTCAAGGCTTTCGGATTCCAGGCTGTACAAGCCTAAAAGAAGTCAAATGAAATGGCAACCCAATTAAATTTAACATTTGAATTTTACCTTTATTGTGACGTAAAACTGCAGCTTTATTTATGTAGCACCTTTCAAACAAACATGTTAAGTGCTTCACATAGCAAAATTTAAAAAGCTTAGACAAGAAAAGTGAAATAAACACCAAGAAATACGATTTTGCAAGACGCGAAACACTAAAATGTCACTCATTTCTTAAAATATCCTGGTCAGCTGTATCGAATGCTGCGCAGAGGTCTAAGAGAAGAAGCACTGTGACACTGTTTGCATCCACAATGACGTCTTTACAGTTTTCAACAAGCTGTCAGTGTCAATTCTCTGCTCTCCCTGTCTGGTTTCTGTACCGCACAGGGCCTGGTGTCCAACCTGACTCTGGGAAAAGACACGCTCACCGGCTGGACCATGTACAGCCTCAGCATCGACGAAGCGGTCAGCCAGGGCCTTCTCGGTGAAACGAAACCAACAGACCCACCTCAGCCCGCTGCTCACGCCTTACCAGCCTTCTACAAGGGAAGCTTCATCATTCCTGACGGCATCCCAGACCTCCCCCAGGACACGTACATCAAACTGCCCAAATGGAAGAAGGCATGTGCCCCATACATTGGTTTATTCATGTAGTTAGAATCAAAAGAATCAATGACGGTTTGAAACTGTGGGACAAGTGTTTCATGAAAGACATATTCCTAAAACACAATGCAAATACAGCGTAATAATTAATCAGTCCTATGTCCCTTTTTTTTTCCAGGGGCAAGTTTGGATTAACGGCTTCAACTTGGGGCGTTACTGGCCAACTCGAGGCCCTCAGGTGACACTCTTTGTCCCCGCCAACATCCTCAGCACAGCTGCACCCAACAATGTGACCATCCTGGAGCTGGAGGAGGCTCCCTGCAGCTCAGGACTTTGTAGTGTGGAGTTTACTGACACCCCCATCCTGAATGCAACAGTCCATTCAGGCTACAAATGGCACAGGAGGCTCTTCGCTAAAGACGATTTGCTGTGATCATAAGGGAACTCACCGCTGCACACAAGAAATCAATTTGCACTATTCATATTTGCTGAAGTACAGAGTCAAATCAGCACCTGTTGTGTGAGCTCAGTGAATGTTTGATTTTAAAAGCTGCCACATGTGAAAGACGGCTAATTTGGGACATGACATCGGTGATTGAATGTGTCTTTATGTGTTTTTAGCCAAATATCTTATTTACATCACATCAGCTGTGGGCGTCTCTACCTCACTGATTTTACATTTTCATTCAAAGCCTTTTTTTTCCTTTTCGCTTCACAAAGGGATCATTGCCAACTGAAGCACTGCCGAAACATCACAGCAGCCTTTATGAGAATAACACATCAGGGAAATAATATATGTATCATCATACAGCTGTTGATACATCGTTGGACTGCTGATATGTAGTTTTTATTAACTTTAGAATTATTTTACATATGTTTGAACCTATCTGATGTAATGCGTGTAATGCATCAGCCTTTTAAAGCAAAAATAAAAATATATGATTTGATTATATTCAGATGATCTCTTTTCTTACTGTGTGTGGATATGCTAGTCAGACACATTTATTTATCACTGTAAAATAGAAAATAGATATATTTGTCTTGTAGTAAATATGGAGAATATAAAAGATATTTTATAGATGTGGTATAGTCACTGATACTGAGTTTTTAATATATATATATATAGATAGATAGATAGATAGATAGATAGATATTTGTACATATAAATCCCTTTATTTAATGTATGTTGTATGTAAAATATTTGTTATTTTGTTAATTTTTATTATTTTTTAAATATTTTTTAATTTTAATACCAAATCCTTTTTTAACATATTTTTATTATATTACTTTACTGTATTATTTTGAATACCTAATCATTTAAGTTATGTTACATGGACACAGGATATTACATATTGAGTCTAATAACACATCACAGTGAAGTATGAAATTCCCTTTTGAGTTGTGGTGGTGAAGGGCAAAATGTTCCAATGATAATTGAAAAAAATAAAAATGAAAACAAACGAATAAATAAAAAGTAAAAATCCACTGAATGAGCTTTTCCTGTCAGCTGCTCCAGTTGGGTGTAATGGCGCCCTCTGGTGGACGTAAGCATGAATTACAAGCAGAGTACAGGCACAAATACACAGATTAACATGTTGAAAGTTTTTTCTTCCACAGATATTACTTTAATTTGTATGTTTTTATCTAATATACCAACCGACCAAGATATTCATTTTAATTCTTTATAGTACTGTCTTGCCTCAAGGTAACATACCCAGTTTTGGCAGTTTACACACACACACACACACACACACACACACACACACAGTACATCCTCAATTATGTTGCAATACTTTAAGGAGAGCCAAGACCCTAAAAAAAACAACAACTGCACTGTTTATTCTGAAATATGCTTGTACTCTTTACTCTCTTTGGCCCCTTGTTGTTCTGCATACACATGCTTCCACTTGGTCACATCATAAGCAAATACAACATCCTGTTCCATTGCTTTGCAGATGACACACAGATACATGCTGTGCAAGGTTCTGCTTGCTGTTCCTCAGTCCTGGCTAAACACCAAAGGTGACCAGGCTTTTGCAGTCAAGGCCCCTCAGCTCTGGAGCTCCCTGCCTGAGGATGTGAGGCTTGCTGAATCAGTAACATATTTTAAATTGCCTCTTAAAACTTATCAGTTCAAAGAAGCCTTTTATTAATTTCTGCACACTGTTTCGTTTACATATGTCTCATTTGTTTATCTTTATTTTTATCTTGGTTGCAGCAGTTATTGTATTATTTTATTATGTATTACTCTTAACTGTCTGATTTGCTGTACCTCAGTGCAGTCTATTAAGCAATTAGTTTCCAACTTTGCCTATCTGATTTAGTGAGAGTTTTTTTATTTTTAATGTTCTTTCTTTTTCTTAAAATAGCCTCATTTTATTTGCTTGAATCCTGAATTGTATTATGTATGTATGTACTTTGTTTCAAAAAGGGTTTCATTAATAAAGTTTTATATTATTATCATTATTATTAGTAATAGTAGTAGTAGTATTTAACACATTCATTCCTATAAGCTTTTCCACAGCAGTACAAAGTTGTTTATAGGTAACGTTCAGACAAATAAACTGATGAAAAGAGTTAATTTTAATATTTTTCTATTTCTAATAGCAATAATTGTAAACGTTAAGTTTCTTGAATATGCTCCATGAGTACTGTACTGAATTCTAATAAAATGTAAAATAATAATCCTCTTTATTTTATTTCATTTCTTGACATTATGGCACTGTCTTGCTTTAAGGTAACATTAAGTGTGTGAGATGTTTTAATTCCTGTTAAACTGGTCTATTCTATGACAAAAAAACAAACAATTGCAACATTACAAATATTTCTTTTTTACCAGCTGGCACTGTAAGTACCATAGTGGGTTAAATACTAATAACCTTGTAACTTATTTATTAAGGTTCAAGCTCCTAAGGGCCAGAGCCCTGTTGAGTTTGTGTCAGTTTGATACTGTTATTAGGGTCAAGCTCTGAGGGGCCATATTTTAAATTAATTATGTTTTATTTCATTTAACTAAAAGCAAACCCTGGTGTAGCTTTTTCCCACACAAAAAAATACTTCCATTATTTAAAGTAAAGAGGTGTAACAACATTTAACCAAATAAATGAATGAATAAAACGTTAACTTTGTACAAACAAGCTGAATCCAAAGTCCCTGTTAAAAGTTGATTTAATAAGTGAAGAAGAGCTCTGGTGTCGTCACTGTTGAAGTCAACCAATCACAGCAGGGCAGAGCGCTGTCAGCCAATAGGAAGCCACTAACGGTACAACGTTGACAGACGGTGTTTGATAACAAGACAGGAAGAGCGTGAGGAGCGACACATACATGGAGGTGCTGTCAGACACCGGGGTCGCCAAGCTGGCACGTTATTAATGATTTTGCTCGCAGTTTTTTGAATACTTTTAAACATGGGATAGTAGCGTCTTTGTCAGCTCACTGAATTCAGCTGGTTTTAACTGTGACACCATGATGTCGCTGTCATGGCGGGAGTGTCTGAGCACCTCCGTGCTGTCGCCTGTAAACTTTGTAGCTCTGCTGGTGTTCTTGCTAGTGTTTTATATAGTTAATGTTTATCAGAAACGACGGTACTTCGCAAATATCCCACCAGGTCCGAAGCCGTGGCCGGTGGTCGGTAACTTCGGCGGGTTTTTTCTCCCCTCTTTCATCCTGAGGAGGTCTGGACTGCAGTCACAACCCCCCATGGTCATTTTAACGGAGCAAGCCAACGCGTACGGTAACGTGTACAGCCTGTTTGTAGGGAGTCAGCTGATGGTTGTGCTTAATGGCTATGAAGTGGTCAAAGATGCTCTCTCAAACCATCCTGAGGTGTTCTCCGACAGACCAGATATTCCTTCCGTCACCATCATGACCAAACGCAAAGGTGAACAGCTGTTTTCATTCAAGGACTGTTGTATAGATTTACAGCTGTATTTCTGTGTTGACTAATCATTGAGCATGAAATGGGCAGACATTCTCAATTTCTACTTTATTAGGTACTGTCTAACTAAAGCTAATGCAGTCTGATAAACCCTGGAATAAATTAGGTTTTTGTGTAAACTTTGGAGAGGTGTTGATTCAACTTTATTGTCCCCCTTGGAGGCTGTAGTTTGTGGTGCTGCTGATTACATTGCCTTATACAGAGAGCTCTTTCCAATATCAGTCTATTTATATATATATATTTATATTTATTTTATTTTATTTATATACCAAATGAGGTGGATAAATGGTGAGAAACACATCCTTACCTACCTACCACAGTCAGATTAAAAGAATAAAGGATATGTTCACACTCTCAGGTGTATCTTAATAAAATACTCACATGACTGAAGGTTCACGGTTCAGTTTATCGTCATTCAAATAGGGCTTCAACTAACGATTATTTTCATTGGCAACTAATCTGTCGATTATTTCTTCGATTAGTCGACTAATCATTTTAGCAAAAAATGTGTTAAAATGTTGAAAAATGTCGGTCTTTCCCTCCCAAACCCCAAAATTATATCATCTAATGTCTTGTTTCATACTCACATCAAAGGGTTTTAGTTCACCGTCATGGGAGAGTGTGTAAAGCTGCCAATATTTGAACATAAGAAGCTGCAATAAGAGTAGTTTGGGGTACTTTTATAGTCATTTTCTATGAAAAATAACTCAAACCGATTAGTCGACTACTAAACTACTTGACTACTTGATTAGTTGACTAATCGTTGCAGCACTACATTAAACATGTAATATGAGGGAATGAAATTCGTTACCCAGGTCCAGTAGCATACAGAATAAATAACATTTAAGATAGACCTATAATAGATAATAATTAACCTAAAAGCCTTTAACAAAAACAGCACATACTTAAAACAACAAGCAGCATGTTAAAGTGCGTAATAGTGCATTAGTAGCCACACACAGTTTCGGCAGTATGAAATGCAGAGGACTGACTTTAAGCCAGTGTTTACAGCCTCATTCTCGCTTTGAGGCTGCAAAGGTAAGATTAAATAAGGCTGTGAAAAATAAAGTGCGATTACATCAACATAAAATAATACAAGAGAACAATAACAAGCTGACCACTATCCCCATAATCACAGGTCTACCCTCTCATACCCGCAACACTTCTCCATTCCTCCCTCTTCCCTCCACCCACACAGACCCATCACTTTTCAGTCATCTCAGTTGCTGTAGTGTGTGCAGTGGCTGAACTTTTGTGTTAGATTTGTGGTTGCAAGATATAATATGAGGGGTTTCCAATTTTTATTGAATTATTGGAGCTTGTCTTTCAGGGCAATGATGAGCAGAGACTGTGGCTTGATCACAGTACTCATGACCTCAGACATGATGCTGCAGATGTCAGTCCAAAAAGATTGAACCTTTGGACATGAAGCAAAGCTATGTAGAAGTGTTGCCACAGAAGATTGGCATTGAGACACTGTTTTGCAATCATTTGGACAAGTATGTATATACTCAAGGCTCTTTTCCCACAAGTCATCAAGACAGGGTATCTTTTAGAGCTGCAACTAACATTTCATTTCATTATTGATTAATCTGCCGATTACTTTCAGTTTTTATTGACTAATCCTTAAATCTATACATTCATTTTTTTTAAAGTTAAAAATGTTAATCAAAATTTCCAAGAGCCCAAAGTGACGTCCTCCAACCAACAGCCCAATCTCAAATACTCTTAATTTACAACCATAAATGACAAAGAGAAACTGCAAGTTCTCAAATTTAAAAAGCAGCTGTTGGACATTTTTATTGGTGCCTTCGGTGATTAGTTAGATTAGATTCCAGAGTTTATAAATAAATACATAAAAAAACTTAGACTCTTGCAATCAGGACTCTCGGAGCAAGCAGTTACTTGGTTCACCAACTATCTCAGTAATAGGACTCAGTGCATTAAATATGATGGCCTGTGTTCTGATATTGTTACTGTCCACAAGGGGGTGCCACAGGGTTCTGTATTAGGTCCCCTTTTATTCATTATTTATATCAATGATTTGGGTATAAATGTGACAAATGCTAATTTGCATTTCTATGCTGATGACACAATTATTTACTGCTGTGGATCAATTCTTTTTTAGGCCATTGAATCCCTGCAGAAAGCCTTTGTTGCTGTCCAGCATTCATTACTTCAGCTGAAACTTGTTCTCAATGCAGACAAGACTAAGCTTATGCTGTTCTCTAATTCTAGGAAGAGGCCACAAATTATCCCCTCAGTGACCACTCGAGGGAAATGAAATAGAGGTGGTACACGAGTATAAATACCTGGGTGTCTTGATTGATGACTCCCTCACTTTCAAGCCTCATATAGAGAAATTAGTGAAGAAGCTGAGGATAAAATTGGGTTTTTACTTTCGAAATAAGCTATGTTTTTCTTTTAATGCAAAAAAGCGACTTGTTGCTGCTACCTTTTTACCAGTGTTGGATTATGGAGATCTTTTATATATGAATGCGTCTGCTAAATGTCTTCATATGGTTGACGCTGTCTACCATGCTTCTCTGAGGTTCATTACTAATTGTAAACCATTGACACACCACTGTGAGTTATACTCTCGGGTCGGATGGGCTGCTCTGGCCACCCGAAGGCTCAGTCATTGGTATACTTTTATATATAAGGCATTACTTGGTCTATTGCCTTCCTACATTTGTTCCTTAATTGCACAGAGAAGTGTTGGTCCTTACTTCTTTCGTTCGCAAGACTACTTGTTGCTTTCTGTTCCATATGCCCGTACTGAATTGGGTAAAAAGGCTTTTGTCTACTCTGCACCTTCAGCATGGAATATGTTGCAAAATGACTGGAAACTAACAGGGTTAATTTCTTTGAGCTCCTTTAAATCCAAACTAAGAATATTTGAGGCCGACTCCACTACATGTATTTGTTTTTCATAATCTGCTTGTAAATTCAATACTATTTGTTTGTGTTTTATCTGTGTAATTTGTAACTGTGTTTCATACTTGCTGCTGCCTATCTTGGCCAGGTCTCCCTTGAAAAAGAGGTTGTTAATCTCAATGGGATCTTCCTGGTTAAATAAAGGTTAATAATAATAATAAAAACATAAATAAAAGTACAGTAGTGATGAAATAAATATATGTGTCTGCAGGTATAAACAGACAGTAGAAGTAGTTGAAGAACTACCCTACTCACAAGTGCAGCTGTGTAGTTATATGTATAGGTTATAGTTTGATGAGTCCATACCAATAAAATTGGAAACAGACTAAATATGCCATCCCGTCTCTGTTTTAACTGAACTTTAGGAATAGTCTTTGCACCTTACGGGCCAGTGTGGAGAAAGCAGCGCAAGTTCTGCCACACCACGCTCCGAAGCTTCGGCCTGGGGAAGCTGACCTTGGAGCCGTGCATCCAGGAAGGTCTGGTTACCATCAAAACAGAGCTGCTGCGACTGAGCAAGGAGTCCGGTGCAGTCGGCGTGGACCTGGACCCGCTGATCAGCAATGCCGTGTCAAACGTCATCTGCTCGCTGATCCTGGGACAGCGCTTCCATCACGAGGACAGCGAGTTCCGCAACATGCTGAGACTTATGGATCGAGGGCTGGAGATCAGCGTGAACAGCGCTGCAGTCCTCATCAACATCTTCTCACTGCTGTACTACTTGCCTTTTGGGGTCTTCAAGGAGTTGCGGCAGGTGGAAAGAGACATCACAGCATTTCTGAAGAGGAGTATTACAAAGCACAGAGAAACCTTAGATCCTGACAACCCGAGGGATCTTGTAGACATGTATTTGATGGAGATGTTGGCCCAACAAGCTGCTGGAGAGGAGGACAGCACCTTCACAGAAGACTATCTCTTCTATATAATAGGAGATCTCTTCATCGCTGGCACTGACACCACCGCTAACTCAGTTTTGTGGGTTCTGCTCTACTTGGCCATACACCCTGATATCCAAGGTAATAGCAGCAACAGTCCTTTACAGACATGTCCTTATGATATCAAGGAATTTGTCTAGTTTGCTGCAAAACTGACCTCCTCAGTGCCACTGGAGTGGAGCTGTGGGACCACCACCTCTGATATCCAAAATGTCTCCAATCAGATTCTGTCCAGTTTTGGCAAAGTTATAAAGTCATAAAGCTCCTACTCAGAGTTTCCCTGGCACAAGATTTTGATGAAAGAAAATACACAGTGTAGAAGAAAACAATGAGTGATAGGCACACACAAATCCACACACTTTTCTATATTTGATGCAGCTACTTTATCATCTCAACGCATATTAGTCATTCAGTTATATAAAATATAATTTATACAACACTGTAGAGCTTCAAAATTTATAGTTGAGATACTGATGGGTTACATTTATGTTGCAGAGTTGATTGTGAAATGCTTTTAGTCGTATACAAACCACAGATGTTTTCTGTATTAATCATGGAAAACTCTTTGGGGGGGAAAAAGGAATTGGAAGTCTGCGGTGGGAACCCACAGCTCAGACACTTCCTGGTTTTAGGATAACAAAATGTCTGGCTAGATTATACATTTAACCACTTCTCCATCTCTTTCACAACCACATTGATTAGCACATCAAAACATATGTTCTACCACTGCTTTCAAGTACTTTGAAATTACTTTAACTGGCTTACAGCTACAGTCGGTAACTTTTAAGAAAATAACTGTCATATTTGCTGAAAGTGTCACTATATTCTAAAGGAAGTACATGACACAGGTAATGTGGAAGAAAAGAACCATGCCCCTCCTCCTCTTCCTCCTGCCTCTGATGGCATTCGCTGGAATCAGACCGTGTAATGCAGCTGTCAGTCATGTCAGTCGCCCTCACCAGGCAGCGCTGATTAAATGCGAATAAAAATTCTGTACCTGCATTGCCTATTTCTCTCCTCAAATGTTCTCAGAAACTTATTTTAGTGTACTGTTTAACTGTAAAATGAGAAAGTTGGTCTAGCTGGTAGGCGGCGCATGATACTGTTGGATACTTAACAGTTTCAGCAAATATAAAAAAGTTATTTTTAGAAAAGTTACCAACTGTAGCTCTAAGGTGTGTAAACACCACCTGTTATTTTTACGTATTTGGTGGGATGAGGACTTCATTGATCATCAAAGAATGATTAATTAATGTTGTTTCTACTGTTTTGATTTCAGACAAAGTCCAAGCAGAGATCGATAAAGTGGTGGGCACACATCGTGTCCTGTCGCTGACAGATAAGGGAAGCTTGCCTTTTACTGAAGCCACCATCATGGAGGTGCAGAGACTGACTGTTGTGGTTCCCCTGGCTATTCCTCACATGGCCTCTGAGACAATAGGTAAACTTAAAGGTCCAGTGTGAAGGATTTAGGGGCATCTATTGGCAGAAATGAAAAGTTTATAATCACCTTTAAATGGAAATTTAAATAGTTTTTTTGCCCTTAGTTTGTTACTGTTTGTTTTTCCAAACCAATGATGAAGAATCCAAATGATTTCAAACGGCTGAGGGCTCGACTGCAAAAATCATTTTTAGAAAACGTCTGATTCTGTGTGTTTACTGTGTCGGTTTTATTAATATGTGTAGATGCGACAGAGAGAGTAATTTGTTGTTGTTTAATTTAGCAGCGACTACTATTTCCTTTTAGTGTTTAACAGGCAATCAAAGTGCTTGATGCAAAGTGCTGCACAAAGAAGTCAAAGACTGATTGATTTTATAGGTTTTTTAAGAAAAGATGGTAAAAAGAGCAGAACAAACAGTATGTAAATCTACATACAGCACAGGTCCACGTTCTACAGTAGCCCAGAACAGACGAACCAAACACTGGCTCTAAAAAGGGCCATTTACGTCTTCATGTCTGCCACTATAGCTCTATTACATGCTTGGCACATGGAAGAAGTTTCAGTTCTGCAACCTCACCGCTAGATGCCACTAAATCCTACATACCAGACCTACCACCCCTCGTCTTTTCCTAAATCTTCTGTTAATGCTCAACCAGTCAAGAGTTTCAGACAGTAATCATATATCAGAAATAATAAAAATCTACAGAGGTGACTTTTGTTGATGAATCGCAATTTCAAAAGCATCTGATTCACTGACGTGATGGCTTTGTAATGTGTTTTTCTCCCTCTCTTTTTAGAGTTCAGAGGCTACACTATTCCCAAAGGAACAGTTATTGTGCCCAACCTGTGGTCTGTCCATAGAGATCCCACTCTCTGGGACGACCCAGACAGTTTCAACCCAACACGCTTCTTGGACGATGAGGGACATTTGCTCAGGAAAGAGTACTTCATACCATTCGGGATTGGTTTGTAAATCCTCACTCATAAATAAGTGAAACCTTGATTTATACAGGTGCATCTCCAAAAATTAGGATATAGTGAAAAAGTTCAATATTTCTTGTCAGTTATTTCAGAAAGTGAAAATTGTATATATTCTGGACTCATACAGTCCTGAGAAGGAGCTCTAATCAGCTAATGAACTCAAAATATTTGCAAAGGTTTCCCGGGCCTTTCATCTCCCAGTCTGGTCCAGTTAACACAACCACATCATGGGGACGACTGCTGACTTAACAGTTGTCCAGAAGACACTCACTGACACCCTCCACAAGGAGGGTAACCCACAGATGGTGATTACTGAAAGGGCTGTCTATTTGCAGTGGTCTCAGTGGTCCAAAATCGTCTTTCAGTTGAAAGTACATTTTACATTTCATTTGGAAATCAAGGTCCCAGAGTCTGGAGGAAGAGCGTTGAGGCCAGAATCCAAGTTGCTTTAAGTCCAATGATGATTTGGGGTGCCGTGTCATCGGCTGGTGTTGGTCCACTGTGTTTTATCAAGTCCAAAGTCAACATGGCTGTCTACAAGGAGATTTTTAGAGCACTTCATGCTTCCATCTGCTGACCAGCTTTATGGAGATGCTGATTTCCTTTTCAAGCAGGACTTGGCCCCTGCCCACAGTGTCAAAACTACTCCTAGCTGGTTTGCTGATTGTGGTGTTACTGCCCTCGTACCCCACAGAGAATCTATGGCGTATCACCAGATGAGAGACACCACACTCAACAATACAGATGAGCTGAAGGCTGCTATCAAATCTACCTGGGCTTCTATAACACCTCAGCAGTGCCACAGGCTGATTGCCTCCATGTCACACCGCGCTGATGCAGTAATTCGTGCAATAGGAGCCCTGCTTATAACTAAGCATTTATGCTTATTAGAGCATAAATGAAAATACTTTTTAGAAGGTCGACATTTCTGTAGTATAAATTCTTTTTTGATTGGTCTTATGTAATATTCTAATATTTTGAGATGCTGGATTTTTGATTTTCATGAGCTGTAAGCTGTAATCATCAAAATGAAAACAAAAAAAGTCTTGAAATATTTCACTTTATGTTTAATGAATCTAGAATATATGAAAGTTTCACTTTTTTAATTAAATTAAGGGCAAAAAATTAACTTTTCCATATCATAATTTTTTGAGATGCACCTGTAAATTGATTTTAATTGTCCATGCACCAGGCGCTAACACTTTATACCCCCTGTACCCTTCAGGTCGCAGGGTGTGCATGGGTGAACAGCTGGCGAAGATGGAGCTGTTCCTGACGGTTTCCAGCTTACTGCAGGCCTTCAAATTCAGACTTCCAGAGGGAACACCTCCTCCTTCTCTGCAAGGGCGGTTCGGCCTGACGCTAGCACCCTGCCCATACACTGTGTGTGTGAGCCCTCGAAGGTGAAGCAGTGCAATATTTGGTTCAGATTTTCTGTAAACCAAGAACCTTTACTGACCAAGACATGGGTCAAGGTTTCCTGGAGAGACAATGCAATCTGTGTGAAACAGAAAAAGTATGATCTGTATCTATGGCTGCACATCACATCTCATTATCAGTTAATGTACTGATTATTCAAGCAATTATTGGGTCCATAAAATTCAAAAAGCAATGTGAAACACCAATCAGAAATGACCAAAGTGATGTCTTATGGCTAGTATTTAATTTGTAATGCTTTCATCCAAAACAGCTGCTAATAATCTCCTCTAAGAAGCTGGGACCAGCAAGTGTTTTATATTTACTTGACAATCAAGCAATATTTAAGGTCTATTGTCAAAGTTCTGTTGATTGTTTTTTTTAATCAACTCAATCTCGACTAATACGGTCAGTATTATATTTCAGATGCCTTTGATTTTGGAGGATATCTGCTGTATATCTGTATTGATATTTTATCATTTTACTGTAATAGGACGCATGACACTGAAATATAGAAATGAGCGCACAGATCTGTCTATCTGTCTGTATAATGTCTTTTATCAGGGCATTAGGAAAGATTTTAGTTTCAAGAGTATAAATATATATTTTCCTTACTGACTTGATAAATGGATCACTGACATTGTGTCAATAAAATGAGTTTATCTTAATAATAATAACCTCAGTGTATCATGAATATAGAAAACTTGAATATTATCATTAAATCACTTTTTATTCTGAAAGAACAAACTAATCCTACATCAGAATCATTTTGTTTTTGTCATTTGTCATTGTGAAAAAACAGTTTTTAAGACATGCAGCCCAAAGCTTATTTTACAACAGCTAGGGACATTCTGGCATTTTGTCTAGGGTGTGTGCATGATGTGCAGTGTAGAGTTACAATCAATTGATTTAAGGAAGTGTATTATGATTGTAACAAAACATATAACCTATTGGTAAAAGAAATCAGCTCAAAGGTGGAAAAGATACTGACTGCTAGCTGGGACTTCTGCGACAGCTGATTGACAGTTCATGAAAACATCCAAATGTGATTGCTAATAGAGAATTAACAGCATTCAAGTGATTATTTAATTGTTCCGACTCAGATATTCACGAGCTCCAGAGAGGACTGCTGAAATAAATAAGACCAGAATTTTATAACAACCTAACTTTCCTCTTTAAGTCAGGGTTTGTAACACTACATAGTATTTAATTTTTTAATATATAAGTGCCGTATTTTAGTAGGCTGCATGGTGGTGCAGTGGTTATCATTGTTGCTTCAGAGCAAGCAGGTTCCTGGTTTGAACCCCAGGGTGGGGGAGCCCCCCGGTGGAGCCTGCATGCTCTCCCGGTGCCTGCATGAGTCTCCTCCAGGTACTCCAGCTTCCTCCCACAGTCCAAAGACATGCAGGTTAGCTTTAGAGACTTATGGATCATACAACCGTAGGTGTGAATGTGAGCGTGAATGGTTGTCTGTCTCCATGTGTCAGCCCTGTGATAGTCTGGCGACCTGTCCAGCGTGTATCCGTGACATTCATTTGACAGCTATAGTTAGAGAATAGCCCATGGTAGAGTGTAACAGAGTACATTTGCTTAACTACTGTGCTTAAACAAAGTGATGAGGTATTTGTACTTCAGTAAATAAGTGCTGTATTTCAGTGAGCTATTAGCAGTGGGTGGAATGCACATTAGGAGTGTTGTGCTAAATTCACTCAGTGCCTTTATTGTAATTGCACAACTGAAATACAAAATTAGGAACTTCACAGACAAGGAGACACATTTAAGACTGTATACTTAAGTATAAAAACAATACATAAGTATAAAAACGGGGTATTAAAGCAGAATAAGTACGATCTACATATTGCACATAGCCATGATAATACTGCACATATCTTATCTCATGTTTTTTAACAGTTTAATACTTCAATGGCACTTTGGTAAAAGCTTCGCAGGAATCAGTAAGTGGCAGCTTTTAGGGACCTGTAGTGCCATCTAGAGGGCAGCAGGGTGAAAAGGTGCTGACTTACGTGTGATGATTCTCTAATGTTTGTGGCTCGATGAAGACATTGTCCTCTACTTATGGCAACTGAGTGCCAGGAATTTGCTGTGCTGACTTTAGGACTCTCTGAAGAGCTTTCCTGTGTGTTGCAGTGCAGCTGACAAACACACCAGCATGCTGTAAATAAGAATGCTTTAAATGGAGGAGTGATAGCAAGACAGAAGCAGCTACTGGGACAGGTCGGCTCTTTTCAGTGTCCTGAGAAAATACAGCCACTTCTGCTCCTTCTTCACCAGGGCTGTGGTGTTAAAAGTCCATGTGAGGTCCTGGGAGATGTGTGTGCAGAGGAATTTAAAGGAAGACACTCTCTCCACTATGTCTCATCTGATGTCTAACAGTGCAGGTTCCTTGTTGTTTCCTGAAGCTGACTATCATCTCAATTGTTTTGGTGATGTTGAGCACCAGGTTGTCAGTTGAACACCTTTCTGTCAGTCTGCAGACCTCATCCCTGTAGGCAATACATTTGAGGTACTTGTAGTTTACTTCTACTTTCCAGTACAGTTCAGAGGGAAATATTTTACCTTTTACTGCAGTACAATTATTTGGCACTTAGCTACTAGTTATGAGTTACTTTTTTTACAACTGCGGTTGAAGCCATTGTTAAATCCTCCATATGCACACAGCTGTGAACACATAACAACAGTATTACTGCACTGATAAAAAGTCGTTTAAAAATGTTACTTTTGTTGTGAATAAGGATTTACGGTTGCTCCAAGTGTGGATAAGTGGTTGAAAGAGATGGTCAGGATAGAGGAGGGAGACAGACAAGAAAAGAGACATCCTGGAATCTGAAGAGCTGGAAACGTTGACAGGTTTCTAAAAGCAGGGAGCCACTTGAGGCCAGGCTTTACAGTGATTTTAACAGCTAAGGGGGTTTGACAACACCCCCAAGCTGTTCTAAAATCACTGTAAACCACTCATTGCTTGAATAAATAAACAGTGTGGAGGAAGGAGTCAGTCTGCATAATGAGTGTTTACCTTTGATGCTTTACGTACATTTTGCTGATAAAGGGTAGTTAGGCAACTCTTCAAGTATTGTGACTTTGGGTCACTGAGAGAACATTTTTTCATTTTTATCACACTAAGCTGACACCAAAAGGTACGTACAAAGATTCAATGATAAATCAGTTACTATTTTTATTAGATAGAAAGTGGACTTTGTGATGTATCTTCTTTGTCCCTGAGCCAGAGTTTGGACATTTAACCCTGCTTGAGTTTGAATTTAATATTGATTATTATTAGCTTTTAATAGAAATAACAAATAAATACCCATTTTACCAATTTTAATAAAATGTTGCCTATAAAGTGTTGTAAGATATAATTAAGGTTACTGGGGTTGTGCCACACCGTGTAAAAGTGTGACTTTAGGGTTTTTTTTTTTTTTTTGTTTGTTTTTTTTAAGAGTTTGTTAACTTGGTAAAAACAGCAATAGTCATGAGTCACGTGACATGAAAGTACATGCCTGCAGAGCAAAAAGAAAAGAATAAAAAGATAAAATAAAAATAAATCTGGAATACATTTATTATCTTATCTTACTATATAATGACGAAAACTCTGTGTGTGTGTGTGTGTGTGTGTGTGTGTGTGTGTGTGTGTGTGTGTGTGTGTGTGTGTGTGTGTGTGTGTGTGTCTGTTCCACGTTTTTCTCCTCACTGACTTGGTCAATCCATGTGAAATTTGGCACAGTGGTAGAGGGTCATGGGAGGATGCAAATGAAGCAATATTACATCAATTGGCCAAAGGGGGAGCTATAGCAACTGATTGAAATAGCAAACTTTGAATGGGCATATCTCATGCCCCGTATGTCGTAGAGACATGAAACTTTGCACAGAGATGCCTCTCCTCATGAGGAACAAATTTGCCTCAAGAACCCATAACTTCCGGTTATATAGATTTTCCGCCATTTTGAATTTTTTGAAAAACACTTAAAATCGATCTCTTCCTAGGAAGTTTGAGCGATCTGCATGAAACTGGGTGAACACAATCTAGGGACCAATATCTAAAGTTCCCTCTTGGCAAAAGTTGAAAAACTTACTAAAACTGAGCTTCTATAATGCAATGAATATTGCGGAGGGCGTGGCTTATCACATAAAGGTGTATAATATCTCAAGGGTTTCACCGATCACCACGCAACTTTGTAGGCATATGACCACACATAATCTGAGGGGACCCCTCCATTATTGACCCCAGCAAACAAAATGGGGGCGCTAGAGAGCTAATTTCTTATCTAGGCCTAACCACCATATCGATTTTTACTAAACTTGGTAGATATGTAGAACAGAACGCCTCAAGGTGACTGGAGAAATTTCACTCTAATTGGCAACTGGGTGGCGCTATAACAACAGAAAAATGCTTAAACATGGCTAAAATGCGACCGATCGCTGTGGCTCCCCCTGTGGACCAATGTTGTTGTTTTTTTCTAATTTTTGGTATGACTAAGTCATGGTATGGTATGCTGTACATAATCATGGAAACTGTCAGTGTGTCATTCTGTCAGTCAGTCAGTTATTCTACCAGTGCGCCCCACTTTTAAGTCAATACAACATAAACACTTACTGTCTGCCTTGCAACGTGCTACCTCAACTACTAATGTACAGTTTTAGCCCACTAACTATCCCACTATTGGCAATGGTACTACTGTACTTTCAAAAAAGCAATCGTGCTATGGTAATAGAAACAACTATACCAGAGTTAAATCACTGAAGCTATTGTAGCAATACATTTCTCTAAATATGTGTTAGACCAAAACTGACCATAGTTACTTTTGTAATATTTAGAATTAAGTGCTTGTAATTGAGTATTTTTAGACTTCAGTAGCCGATACTGCTTTTACTTAAGTAAATGATCTGAGTACTTCTTCCACTACTGGTGAAGTAGTTTTATAACTCTGGCAGGGGCCATTTTACATGCAAATGTTGTCATACTTTGATTTACAAAGTAAAGTTTGCTGACAATAATTCTGTACTCTTCCAATTTAAATGCATGACTTTGATTTGCATGTATTTTAACATCCGGTGTTACTCCTGAATATTTGGATTCCCTTCCGTAGGCTTTTTGTGCAGTTTAAGTTAGTTAATATGTGATAATGATGATGACTACAGCTAAGTGTGTGAAAGGTCGTGGTTGGTCACGTGACCGCCGACCTTCCTTCCCCCCCTCCGGGCCTGTTTCAGTCAGTCATTGGGTTTCAGTCTTGCTGCAGGTGACAGGCGAGTCATGGCTTTCTTTACACACCAAATCTGCAGAAGTTTGTCGTCTTCTGCGGTCAGACATGCTGCTATCAAGCACGTCACGATCATCGGCAGCGGGCAGATGGGTGCAGGAATCGCACAGGTGAGCGAAGTTATGGGTTTGGTGTCTGTTTAGCCGTTTAGCTAGCATGTAGCTCCGTTAAAGCTAAGTGGAGTAGCTGCGCTGTACCGGAGCTGTGACGGTAAACCGGACCTACATTTGCAAAACCAACCAGCCAGTCTTCATTCTTGAAGTCTTTGCTCTTGTTGAACAGGAAAACACTTGGTTGAAAACCCACTTGTGTCGAGGACAAGTCGTCCAACCTGCATGTTGCTCCATGACGTTAGCATATGAGCTTATAAAATACAAGTTGTACATTTC